TGAAGTGTTAAAAAGCAAAGATGTCACTTTGAGGACTAAGGTGCACCTGACCCAAGCCATGGTGTTTTCAATTGCATCATATGCGTGTGAAAACTGGAGAATGAATAAGGAAGACAGAAGAAGAATTGATGCCTTTGAATTATGGTGTTGGCAAAGAATACTGATACATCATGGACGTGCCAGAAGAACAAACAAATCTGTCTTGGAACAAGTATAGCCAGAATGCTCCTTAGAAGAAGGATGAAGAGACTTCATCTCATATACTTTGGACATGTTATCAGGAGGGACCAGTCCCTGAAGAAGGACATCATCCTTGGTAAAGAAGAGTCAGCAAAATGGACTGATACAGTGGTTGGAAGAGTGGGCTGAAACATAGCAACAATTGTGAGGATGGTGCAGGACTGGGCAGTGTTTCGTTCCATTGTACATGGGGTCACTATGAGTTGGAACCAACTCAGTGACACCTAACAACACCCCCACAAGAGTGCCATGCACCTTATCTGCACTATCAGGAAACTATCCAATCCCCTTGGTGGGCCACAAGCACCTAATCTGCATAGTCCCACCTAGTCATTTGGTGGGAGTTACCAAGACCTTGGAGAGAAAGGCCATATAAAAGTGATCCACCACACCGCAACCTCAGTTCTTTCCATAAAATACTGCCTTGCAGACTGGTTCATGAACCTCAGAAAGTACTTCTGTTCACAAAGTCAAAGGCCCATTTATTGCCTATTAAGGGGAATATACAGTTGAATATGTCTTTTTCCTCTCCCCCATCAAAAGAAATGAAATTACGCTGCTGTCACAGAAAGCAAAGACTACAGTAGATTAATTTTTAATAATCAGAATCAGGAGGACAAGACTGATGTACAGACAAGCATACGAATATGTAGACAGAATTAAAAAACCATCAGTGTGGGCTATTTGCTTTTTCTCACACAGATGTACTATATTAAATGATCACAGGGGCTATCATTTTATTCAGTAGAAAAGGGCCCCACAACAGTCTAAGCACCATCCCCAACCTTCCAATAATGTCAGAGTGAAATGAAAGTCCGAAATTAATTCTAGATGATTGCTGTACTTCACTTAAAGATGCCATCTCTAAGTAAGGACAATCAACAATCATGGCCCAAACAGCCTATGACCTGTAAACACATTGAGGACACGCTCATGCCTCAGAGAGAAGCTGCTCTGAGTCTTAGGAGTCTCTGGAAGGAGAAGATCCGCTGGCTGCGCTGTCGGCCAGTGTCAGATCAGATCTTCATGTCACAGCGCACCCGGGAGGCCAGACGCTCACCAACCTATACAAGGGTCCGGGCAATCCCGCAGGTAAGTTTCAAATTGACCTCTGGTGACATCCATCAAGGCCGTGAATATAGTCAGCTGAAAGGAAAGTTATTTTTACTTTACGTATGTTTTCAGCTATAAGATGTCCTGGTTCATGTTAGCATTTTTATACTTCTGGAATTTGCTTTAAGAAGTTACTTGAACTATGGTAAAGAAAACAACCAACTTCAATAGAACCAGTGTGCCCGGAAGTGAATATACATAGGCTCGGGAGACATCTCTTCAGTTCTTTACAAGGCTTTACTCCCAAGCAGTACATTGCTTCTCCAGCAACGCTTCAGGAGATTTAAGACTCAGTCCTCCACAAAGTATAACCTGCAGTCACGCAAAGCCTCACAGTACACTACAGACTGTTTAGCTTCTGCTATCCTTAAAGAATTTGTAACACAGTGGGGAAATATGGAGGCACACAGATTATAGAACACACAAATGCACACAGTCACAAGGAATATGGAAGTAACATAATTGTGGGCTCACATGAAGATGGTCTGGGCAAAATGAGAATTAATGCAGGACCAGTGAGATTAAGGAAGGCTTCCTGCAGGTGCTGTGTTCTGATGTAAATGCTACAGGGCTGGTGGAATTCCTGCTGTCAGGTTAACAGAGACACTTGTGTTTTAGGGAGAGTTAGGGACAACTGGGAAAGTCAGGGTGTGTATGTACTGAACACACAGTGGGTGACTTCTAGCAAACTGGACTATTAGGAAACTTGCTGGCATTTTCCTAGCTATAATGTTAGGAAAAGAAAAAAGGATATGGTAAGCCTTAAGGGAAACACTAATCCATCAACACAAAGAGCTCTGTCTGAAAACCGGCTTTAGACTTTGTCAAGTTTGTTGTAGAGTATGGGTTGGGATTTCTGACGGATAGGGAGAAATCAAGAGTAAAATGCTTGACTTAATTCAAATGCCATTTAAGTAAAGCTGGAAACAATACTTGGCCAATGCGGTTGTCAAGCCACCGTGATCAAATTCTTTGTTACATTTTCGCACATACATTGTCACATTCTCACACAAAAGCATTAAAAAAATCAGCGTTAAGCTGAATAGGAATTAGAATTCTAACTCAAATTGATCCAAGGTAACAGGGAAAGATAAAGCAAAGGACCAAATTCTTCTCCAAAAAGCGAAATATATAAATAGGAAATACCTTGTTGAGAACAGGTTTTGTTGACAGGACATCATATATGGTTGGAAGTGAAATTTTCTAAAACACAAAAATAGTTGTGTTCAGTAAATTACAGATGCCAACAGCTTTATCTACACAAGTGGGTCATTAGAAACCAGGACATTCTTCAGTCTTTCTAAATTCTCCTGAAAGAATTTCCCTCAGGGTCACGTTTAGAAACAGATTGACTCAATAAGGGCTCTAGCATGTTATGTTTTTATTCTCTCTCCCTCCCTTCTTTAATTCTTGTCCGTTTGTCACTCAGTTTCACAGAATTAAGATAAGAAAAAAAAGTGCAGCAAGATTTTGGTCTTTCAGTTAAAAATCAAACTCAGTCTAGAGGTACTGAGTAAGATGAGGTTTATAAATTCTTCAAAGACCAAAGAAAAATAGCGGAACTAAGAAAATCTTTAATGGTCCACAACTTCTTTCAGCATGTGACACTGCAAACATACCTCTTGGGTTGTCTGGTTCAGACATATCTTTGTAGTTGTTCTACGATCGTCAAGGAAGAAGGGATTTCTCCAACGGTCATAATTTGTCTGTATCACATACCACCTACCCTGTTTAGGGTTGAGTCTAGATACAAAAAGAAAGAGTCTGTCTCAGGCTTCACACCTTAAACCTGTACTATGTCAGCCTATGCTTTAGTTTCTACCTATTTTGTTTAATACACATACTTACTCATATACATCCAAAGATACTTTTCTGTCTCTTGTAATCACACAACCCTCCCCAGATTGGTTGCCTCCCAGGATAAAGTATGCTGGGGCCAGTATCTTGGTTTTGGTCAGTATATTCTTGGTTTCTTCATAACTATGGAGAAACAAACAAAAAAATTAAAAGGAAACATTTTTAGTTGATTTGGAAAGTATAGAAATGGGAATTTTTTTAGCTCTGTGGAAACGAAGGGAAAACAAGCATCTGAGGAATATGATTTTTAAAACAGATGTCAAGCAACGTTCGGGGACAGACAGTCCCTGTTCATGTGTTAGGAGACACGGAGAGCTGAAACGGTATTGTCAGAAGGTCTCTTTAATAGGAAGGAGAAACAAAATGGCTTCAAGAGATCTTCTTCCATCCTTCTAGTTCATGCCTTTCATTCAACAGTAGAATAAGGGGCGATCATATGAAGTATAGTAAACAGGATTTAGGGAATATAAAGCTTCTTGAAAATTACCGGTTGTTGCTGCTAGTTGCTGTTGAGTCAATTCTGACTCATGGCAACCCCATGTGTGCAGAGTAGAAATGCTCCATAGGGGTTTCAAGGCTGGGACCTTCTGGAAGCAGACTGCCATGCCTTTCTTCTGAGGTGCCTCTGGGTGGATTAGAACCACCAACTTTTAGCTAGTAGTCTAGTGCTTAGCCATTTGTACCACCCAGGGATGGTTTCTTGAAAATTAGGGCTATTAAAACATGGACTGGATTACCAAAGACGACTATTAAATCTCATTCCCTGTATAAAGATCATTTCTAAATCAAGGTGCTTGGCATGACTGAGATGACAGATTCCAGTGTAGCCCGACCTTCATTTTCTTTTAAGATCCATTTTATTCTCTCACTCCTAGCCTACCTGCAGGGCCACTTCATTTCTGCTTATCCAGTTTATCATTAACTCTGAGGAAAGACAACTAGTGACCATTGTTTTCAAGACAGGCTTGAAAAATGCATGGTTTAAAGTAGATAAGAGGAAGGAACTGTTTCAGAGGTGTGTTCTAAGAAAACTGTGATATTGAAGATTACAATCATGATTGTTTAAGAATATTCTAGGAAGCATATGATGGCTTTGTGAATGCCCTGTTCTCAGACAGAATGTTCGTATGTGATGCTAAAGAAAGATGTTTGCGGTCACAGTCACGTGCTTTTTCCCTATAAAAGCTCCCTTGCCTGTCTGCACATGGGAGCAAATTACACTTTCGATGTGTGCTTCCCGATTCGAATTGTTCTATTCCTTCGATAAAACTCTTTGATTTTACTTCACAGAGCAGTCTGTTTAACTCTTAAATACTTGGAAAACATCAAAAATAGGCCTGATGCCCATTTATCCTAGGTCATCTGGATGCAGTACTGGCTAAAGGAAAGGCAGTTTTGCTGCTATAAAATTTCTGCACCAGAGCAGAATATAACTCCTAGGTTAGTATGTATTAATTTAAATGATTTTATTATATAATTTTTCTTTTGTGTATGATGTTTTGTGTTACATCAAATAATTCAGATGCTCTAAATAGTGGCAGTGTCTTCAGCACTTTTTAAATAAATCAATTCATATCACTGCTATAAAACACACACACAAACAATATACACACCCAAGTGGGAATAATTCCATATGAATGTCAAAGCCATGATCTAAGAAATTCTGAAATAATTCCTCAATGGAAGATAAACTTGGGCTTGAAAATATTTTTATATTTTAATATGAATCATTTCAAATAAACTAACAATTAGATAATAAAGCAACCAAACAGATTACCTTGTGCTATTTTCCAAAACCGATCTAGTGAGAAACCCTATCCACGTGGCATCTTTCTTCCCCAGAATCCACTCCAGGACACCTGCAGGAGATCATACACACGCACATTCACAGGACTGGAAGAGATGAGGCTACTTAACCAGAAAGTATAGTCCAGCCCTCCTCTTAACACATTTACAGAATTCCCATTTCTATTCAGAACACTCTACTCACCCATATAACCGCCATTCATAGCGAAACGTTCATTGATGGTAAGACTGAACAGTCCCTGAGAAAAATACAAAGCAATAAACTCAGAAACTTCAACCCCCCTCCCTCTTTAAGGGCCTGTTATTCTACTGTATAGTATACAAAGGTCAGGACTGGACAAAGAATGCACAGAGAAACCAAGACCATGGTAATAGCACCTCCTACGAACAAAGCTTTTTTACAAGTTCAAAGTTTTTCACACCTAGTATATGAGCAAAGCAGGCCGGCTATTACTGGCCTCACTTTTCTGAGGGAAGCTCAAGTGCAGAGAATGAGCACCTGACTTGCCTGAGCGGCAGACCCAGGACTAGATCCCAGATTCTGACTCGACCCCTTATCCCAGACCTGGCTTAGAGACCTTCATTGCCTTCCTACACACCTACAAAGGTGACAAGAAGGACAAGGGAATGAACGAGACCTTCATGTTCTTTTTAGGTCCTCATTTCCTTAGACTCCACCCTTCAGAGATAGGAAAAGTGGGACACAGAGCAACATGTAAGGTTATATAACAGTAGATTCCTTACTGGTCTGAATCCTGTTAACATGCCCACGTAGCCAGCAAAACCTGTAGCCTTGAAGACAGTTTTATTGTTTCTCTGGAAGTCCAAATTCACTGTTAAAGGCTTGAGTTCTTCAGTTATGACCCAGGAATTATTATTTATATTCCACCTGCATAAGACAAGTTTCAGTGACATGTAAGAATAATCTGGTTGACGTTGATGATAATGATGAATATGGTGATAAGAGCCAGATGTTGTACTAGGTGCTTTATCTACTTAATGACTAGTGATCAATCCTAGCAAGAACTTTGTAATACGGTAGTTTTATCTCCAATTTTTCAGACACCAAAATTGAGGTTTGCAGACATTAAGTAACTGTCCTGGTATCACACAGTATATGGTGAGTCCCTGATTCAAATTCAGGTCTCTCTAACTGCAATGCCCAACTCTGGCACTCTTTATATTTTTTCAGAAAGGCCAAGTAAAAACCAAACCCATTGCTGTCAAGTTGATTCCGACTCACAGCGACCCTATAGGACAGGCAGAACTGCCCCATAGGGTTTCCAAGGAGTGGCTTGTGGATTTGAACTGCTGGACTTTAGGTTAGCAGCCAAGCTCTTAACCACTGCACCACCAGGGCTCCAGAAAAGTCAAGAGGGCACATGAAATACAATGCTGCTCTCCCTTCTAAGGAATAAATAAGACACGCATCTAGGACCTTCAAGCATGCTCAAGATCTCTGCTCACTAAGTAGAATTTCTCAGTCACAAACTTTCAAATAACTGAGGGATAAGTGTGCTTATCTTGCCTCAAAACTAAGGAATCCAGTATCTTGACTTATGGACGTATCTGGCACATGGCTTGGGACTGACTTTTCATCAATATAGTATATTCTTCTTACAGACTGATAACACACTGTTCTTTACTCACCCAAGAAATACTCCAAAATCCATGTTTCTGCCATGTAGTAGATGACCTAGTTGACAATGAGCAGAAGAGACACATAATACAGTCAAGATAGTACTACTGATTCTAAATCAATAGTACTTAAGTTTGAACACTTAAGGTTGGTTACTTCATATCCACATCTGCTCAATCTAACCGTCAGAATTAAGCAGCTGCCTGATAGCATAAGCCTTGTTAACAAAATCATCAGCACCCTCCTTTATCTCAAACTGCTGTCACTGACACATCTGCCAGGTCCCTCCCACAAAACCTGGGAGCAGCAGAGTTTCAGGTAAGATCAGAATACTGGAAAAGGATCAATGGTCATCCTTTGGCACACTATGGCATGGTTCTACCAAAACAAAGATATCTTAACCTCAACTAATATGACTACCAATGTGTTTCAGGGATGTCACCTACAGCTGGACACCCCAAGGGTTAGGTATAAGTATACTTTACACCCAGAGTATAGGCCAAGGAACAGGGTGAATCAAAGTAAATCATCCTGGGCTTTGTAATCTAGGGAACTGCCGGGGAAAATATGGGAAAGTGACGCTGGTAGACGCAGGGTCACATATCCTTTGGCTGGAAAATGATGAGAGAATGGTTGTCCTGAGCTTCCAGGAAAGGCTGGGACCATTATGTAGCTGAAGAGAATGAAGTAGCTCCTGAGAGTACTAATGTCAAATCTTGTAGATAGCATAACAGACTCTGAGGAACGGTAAGAATGTTTATACTTCAAAGACTACTCCAGAGTCCTCTGCATGCCTGCATTAAACTCCAAGAAGAATTACAGTGAACTTAAGGAGAGTTTTCGATCCACTTCTAAACATTGGACAAGGTATGCAAAACTGTAGGCCACATACAAAATTTACATAGCAAGCCCAGGTTTTAGAACAAGTTCCAGTTGCGTTTATTTAGAAGACTTGTTTTTTTAACTTGCCGCTCTTCACCACCCACCCTCCCTGTGCACGCACTTACCTTCTTTGTCTTCTGTTACTATTGAAGTACAAATGGTAAAAAATTCATAGAAAATATTGAATAAAATAATCTCGCCTATGGGAAAGAAAGGAAATTTTCTTGTTAATATACAGAACCACGACAATGTAAAAACATTATTTTTTAAGAAAAGGTTAGAGTGCAAGCAGTTAAGGTGCTCGGCAGTTAAACTCTACCCAGAGGTGTGCCAAAAGAAAGGCCTGGTGATCTACTCCCAAAAAATCAGCCATTGAAAACCCTCTGGAGCAGATCTACTCGGACACACACGGGGTCGCCCTGAGTCAGAATCGACTGGCCGGCACCTGGTATCGTCTCTACACGAGTGTGTACTTTGATGTACGTAAGTGACCGCAGGCCAGTCTGAGCATGCCGGAGCACCTGGCTGGGTGCTGGTCCTTCACCAGCGTGTGCCCTCTCTACACTCCAGATGAACCAGGTCACCCAGGGACAGGTGCTGGGCAAGCTGAACACCTGGGCAGCTGGAGCTCGGCTACCACAAAGTATCCCTATCAGTGGTTACAAGCTTGGCTGCTAACCAAAAGGTCAGCAGTTTGAATCCACCAGCGGCTCCTTGGAAACCCTATAGGGCAGTTCTACTCTGTCCTATAGGGTCGCTATGAGTTGGAATCAACCCAACGGCAATGATTTTTTTTTTTTAAACAGGATGCTTCTTTTTAATTTTCTTTAGACAGCTCACACATGATAATTTAATGCATCTTGGATGTATGCTGAAAATGTTGAGCATATTTTGACCAGATTTTTAGTGTGACTAAAGTTTCTAAGGAGATATGTGAGCTATTAATAAAAACATAAGTGCCGAAGTGCCAAAAAAATCCATTAGGACATTTTATTGTAAAAATATTTTTCCAAAACGGAATAATACCATCTAGTATTTAACTCAAAGGTATACCAGGCACTTTTATCTCGGTCCCATTTAATGCTAACATCTTAGGCTTAACATGTTCTTTTCGCCCGCAACCCAGGGTTGATTTTATTGATTTCTCTTTTGGTGAAATGCTGCTCTTATTTTCTTTCATCATGAATCATCTGTTAATCTTTTTGTTTTTTTTTAACATTTCATTTTTGGTGGCAATATACACAACCAAACATACATCCGTTCACCATTTCCATGTAAACAGCTCAATAACACTGGCTGCATACCTCACACTGTGTCATCTTGTTAATCTTCTTAACCGAGTTTTCTCTTGAGATATTTATATTTGGCACTGATTTGCTAGAGTTCTTCACACAATAAAGCAACTAAAGATTTATTTCTCATATAGGTTATACATATAGCTATTTCTAGTATGTTATTTTTTTAAATGATTTTTTAAAGACATGAATAATAACAACCTAGCCACTTTGGTTGATGAATACTACTGATTTTCAGAAATTCTCAAACATCTCTCTATCCTTGTAAAACCCTGCTACTACTACCTTCTAAAATAACAAGTCTATTGATTGGGTAGCTTGAAAATAAAACTTTTGAGATGGTGGAACAAATCTTTTTCATTAAATTAAAAATAAATGATACACGATTGGGAACTGAAATTTTAAACAGTTTCCAAAACCATCACTACCTAAGAATAGCTTAATGAACGATATGTAAAACCTCTTCCCTGGAAACAGAAAACACAGAAGTCAATGACCGAAATAAAGAGAGAAATAAACCGTATTCATGGATTAGAAAACTCAGTATTATTAAGGTGTTACATCTCCTCCAATTTAACTACAGATTACAATCCCACTCAAAACAGCAGCAGGTTTTTTTGTCAAAGTTGAGAAGCTGATTCTAAAATTGAGGAAACACAAAGGACCTGGAATAGCCAAGAAAATGGTGAAGAAAAACAAAAGTTGGAAGATTTATCCTAATTGTGAGACTTTAAATCATTAGTGACTGAGGTAGTGTGGTATTGGTATAGGGAAAGACACACAGATAAATTAAACTTAATGGGAGGTCCCAAAACAGAACCAGGTATATATGGTTGTCTGATTTATAACAAAGGCACCACTGCATTCTACTGAGGAAAGGATAATGTTTTCAGTAAATGATGTTTGATCAACTGGATATTCCATATGGGAAAAAAAAAATTGAACCTTGATCCTTAACTCATACCGTACATGAAAATTAATTCACAAGAGATCAAAAGTCTAAATGTAAAAAATATAAACATAAAACCTGTAGAAGAAAATATATAAGACTATTTTCATAAACTTGGGGTAGGCAAAGATTTCTTAAATAGACACCAAAAAGCATTAACCATAAAAGAGACAATTGAGAAACTGGACTTCATTAAAATTAACAATCTCTGCTCATCAAAAGACACCTGTAAAAGAATAAAAACATAAGCCATAGACTGAAAGATGATATTCCCAATACGTAGAGCTAACAAAGGACTGGTATCCAGAATACATAAACAACTCTCTCAGACTAATAAAAACTGGGCACAATACTGTAACAAGCACTTTATCCACACCCTGGAAAGGAAGGAAGGAGGGAGGGGAAGAGGGAAAGAGGGGAGGGAGGAAGGAACCAATAGGGTGTTCAGTCACATTAGTTATCAGGGAAGTACAAATTAAAACGATAATGAGATACTCTGACACAACCAACAAAATGGCTGAAATAAAAAAGACGGACAGTATCGAATGAAGTATCAAGTGGTGAAAACTGAAACTCTCATACTATACCGATACAACCACTCTGGAAAACTGTTAGGTAGGATCGACAATGCTAAACATATATCTACGCTATAACCTATAGTTCCATTCCCAGGTATGTATCCAAGAGAAATGAGTGAATAGTCCATTAAAAGACTTGTACAGAAATGTTCATAGCCACTTCATAATATTCAAAATCTGGAAAACCACCCATATATCCCCCCATGGGTAAATGAGTAAGTTGCAGTATATACATATGATAGCATACTACCTATCATGATAAATACAAGAAACCAGACGAGAGTTCATATTGTATGGTTCTAGTCATAGGAAGTTCAAAGAGAGGCCAAACTAATGTATGGTGAAGCCAGAATAGGGGTCACCTGGTCTAGTGAGGGGTATTATTTGCGAAGGGGCGTGGTGCTAGAATTTTCTGTATCTTGACATGAGTTGTGGTTACAGGCACATACAGGCAGTCCTCGGGTTATGAAAAGATCTGTTCCTAACTGTGTCTTTAAGTTGAATTTGGAGGGAAGTCTGAACAGATGCATCGGGTTCTTACCTTAGCCTTACTTTAGTGGAAGAAAAGCCTCGAAGCCTTTTCAGTGATTTAAAAGCTGCACATGCAGTAAGTGAAGGTGATTGTGATGGAGAATTGGCTGTGGGTAGGGGTTGGTTCCATCGTTTTAAAGTGAGAGCAAATTCACATGACATTAAAGAGCAAGTATGAGCTGTCCACAGTAACCCGTGGATTGTATTTGGGAAACTCCATCTCGCTATATACTTAAGATCTAGATGGATATCATTCCTCAGTAAAAACATTTGAAAGGTTTTATTAAGTGTTTCAAAGGCTGCAAAGTAAACTTTACCTAAAGGTATTTCAGTAACAGCTGCAATTCCTTTCATTTCCTCTTCAAACGGGCTAGGAAGAGGGCCAAGGAGACCAGGCTGAAAAATAAATTACCAGTCGTTCAACCGAAGGCATGCTTTGAGATCTGCTTGTTTTACATGTGAGTTATTCCATATATTGCTACCATAACAGGTGGTGATGAGATGTAATTTTAGGCATTTTTCTATCATGTGTTTCTATAAGATTCCATATAATACTCAATATCGGGCTCCCGATTCTTGAACTCCTCCTGCTCATTTCCTGAAGCTCATCTGTTCTCAGGTATCAGATGGAGACCTGTGACTGTCGCTTGCTTCTTCCCACCCTTATGTTTCACCAGAAAGAGGGGACTGCATGATCTCCTCGTGGGTAACCGAACGAACACGAACACGACACAAGAACATCACAACGGCAGGACTCCTCACTCTCGTCTCTGCCCAGCACGCCACTGCATCCGCACGGTGAAGATGCCATCTACCCATCGGCACTGCAGCCTCATTACCACTTCCTTCCCACTCAGCCTATTCCATGCTCGGCTGATGCTGTTCTACTCATTGACAATACCTTTGGTCATGGCTAATGGCTGACCTTGGGCTAAGAAGCTTTAACTGGATTCTGTTGGCAAACAGTGGACACATTAGTAAATTTAATGGCGGACATCATCAACTCAACTATTTTCACTCACAATGAGATCACAATTTAAGCTCACTGCCTCTTGCTGAGATAATATGATTAAAATTCAAAAGTCTGTTTTCACCAGCTTGGTCTTTATATATAACTTGACCTAAGTCAATGTATTTTTTTTTTCCCTAGGATTTCAAAACACTGCTCAAGTAGAATATTCCGGCCAATAGAACAAATAACTTCCTGAACATTTATTGAATGTCATTTCATCCTCACAACCGCTATACGGAATATGTATTATTAGCAAATATTATTCTCCCTGATGAGAAAACTGAAGTTTTAGACGTTGAGAAACCTCCCCAAGGACACACAGCAAATACGTGACTGGTCCCGCCTTAAAACCCAGTTTTGCCTGATTCCAAAGCTTGGGAACCTAGAGGCTTTGCAGTACTGCCCTCCAGCAGACCAACAGTCAGAGAAGAGGGGAAATTAGGACATAAGGGATGTGGTGCATTCCTCTTCAGTTTCTGCCCGCATGTCCATTTTGGAGAAGTCTGATTAGCAGGAACATATACGACAGCCTCAGGCAAAGGCTCAGGGACATAAACTGAGGGATAACAGGTGTGGCTCGTGCTTCTTAGGGAGGATGTGCCCACAACAGCACCAAGGAGCATGAGCCCACAGGACCCTCGAGAGTAACAGTTCTTGGCCGGGGGAATTCTTATCCCAAGGGACATCTGGCAATGTCTAGAGACAATTCTGGCTGTCACAACAGAGGGAGTGCTCTTGGCATCTGGTGGGCAGGGGCCGGGGATGCTGCTAAACACTCTACAATGCACACGACAGCCCCCACAACAAACAAGTATCTGGCCCAAAACGTCCACAGTGCCGGAGGCTGGGAAATCTGCCCCACCTGGGTCCTTGTGCCTTGCCCCCCAGTCTTCTGCACCCGGCAGGACCATCAGGGCCTCAGAACAAAGGCTAAAAGAGGGACCCGCATGGAGCCTTGGGGGGCAGGCCTTAGATGTTCCATTGGTTACACCTAAATAAAACGGGCTGAGAAATGGGGTCTCCCTGTGTGACCAGGACGACAATGGTCTGCGGAATGCACAGCCATAAGCAACATGCAACCTGAGCTTCCAGGGCCACAGCTGCTGCGGGGCTCTAGAGTACAGGTGGGGTACATGTGTCATCTGGTCATGTCTAGAAAAAAATCTCTGGGGATCCTGGAATATTCTGGCAAAGTACTTAAGGGAAAGAACAGTCTGTTAATAGTGAATGTGCAAACCTAAGTCTATAGAAAGGACATACACTCGAGACAAAATGTGTGTGTTTGCCTCTTTCTCTGTAAAGCAGTCCATGCTTTTAGAAAAGCTATGTTAAAGTTAGAAAACATTAAACAGCAGTCAGCTGCCAAGATCTGCCATCTTACTTAGAGCCCTGTTATTCTAATATTAACCAAGCCTGGGAATTTCAAGCCCCCATGGCGTCTCGAAGTGGTCTAGAATAAATGCAGATTTGTACAAGCTCCTAAAAGTGGCTGTCAAATGATACCAGAGCCTTCTCTAAAGTCTACTTGTGTGTGTATATGTGGTTAAAATTTACTGTAGGAATATTTCTTACCAACTTTTGATCCACTATTTGCATAACTTTTCCACTGGGCACAAATGCATTTACTAGATTTTTCAGGGAATTCACTATAATCCTTAGCTGAAAGATAAATAAATAAAACAATAAGAGATATAAATAAGCATTGAAATTTACTAGTATTAGTAAAATGAAGGCAGATATAGACCTTTTGATTGACCCATATATTGCTAAATCCAATAGAAGTGGAAAACATTTTCAATGACTATGTAAACACAATGCAATCTAACTTTAGTTTTAAAATGATACTTTATTCTTAATGATTTAGATGAAGGAAGACGATACAGAGGTAAAGAACCACAGGCAAGAACTTCTGAAGGAGCAAGAAGCTATAGAGGGCTGACATCTTTTCCTCTAACATCACTCCCTGTAAATGGCAGAAAAGTGCTGAAAGCACATTCTTAAAATACCTGGCAGGTAATTTCATGAAGGGTTCTATTCAGAATACAATTATACTGAGTAACATTAGCAACAGAAGATTTAAACATCGTAGCTTACCGCTGGTGCCTTGTCAGCCATCAGCTCATGCCATCTTTTGTAGGGCGGTAAATCAAGGTTTACGGTGTACCAAGGAACTGGACCCCTATAGCTGTAATGAGAGGTGTATCACCTGGAAATGTTGAAAATTAGCCTCCCCTCCCCACCAGGATGGGTAGATAGTTTTAGCTAGATGGATATGTTAGGATATGTTAGAGACATAGTCTTAATAAAAAAAAAAAATAGAAGTTGGTTACTCCAACTGAAATTTGCAAAGAAAGTTCATTTTCCCTCTGGTGCTTCACATACAGTCAAGTAGTCTCAGAAACCGTGGAACAGAACATACATTCTGGAAGATTAATGTGAACTGGTGACCTGTGAAAAAATCAACTGTGGCTCAAGAGCTAGAGTCTGAATATCACTGCTAGAAAACACCTGCCTTTTTTCCCTCCTAAATCTCCGCCACGGAATACTGTCTGATACAGCGCTGGAAGAGGAGCCCCTAGGTGGGAAGGCACTCAGAAAACACAGTGACCACCACAATGGACTTGAGCACACCAACTATTGTGAAGATGGCTCAGGACTGAGCAATGTTTTGTTCTGTTGTACATGGGGTCACCATGAGTCAGAGCCAGCTCAATGGCAACCACCAACAAATCTCTGCGAAGATTTAGTCTAGGCTCTGGACACTTGTCCAGTTGGTCTCCCAGTCTTACAATTTCTTCTCAGACCGTCGGACACCACTGAGAAACCATTGTTTCTAGTGTCAGCAAGAAGAAGCCTTTTAAGCCCCACGGTGGCTCCGTGTTTTCACTTCCCACCACTGGCTTCAAGAATCTTCCCTCCTAGACTTCCTCTTTTCTCAGACCTTGGTACTGAGGTCAAACTCCAGCACTGTACTGCCACACTCATCCGCCAATGTCTTCCTCTTAAATGCACATACAACCGTTTCCCTATGAGGCTACAGGAATGTCCACTCCCTTATCAGCAGAGCAGGACTATATTCCTGGTAGATGAACCCCACAACTATCTCTGTAGCTACAGAAACATTATCTGCTGGCACTTGCTATTAAACAGAAATACCCTTTAAGGGCGTGCCGTGGAGCCAGTGATGTATCAGCTGAAAACTATGCCTAAAATGAGTCAGCATTTGTGCCATTATTGCTCAGCCCAGAGCAGCATAAAGTACACTCTGGTGTTTGCTACATTTCCAGGCTCTCAGATTAAAATGTTACACAAATGTATGTCTACAGCAGGGATGGGTTATTTCCTAATTTAAGTCTCCAATGACGCTTCTATTTATACTTGTTTTACCATGAATAGTTACCTGAATCTGTAAATAATGTGGCTGAGTTGGTGCCTCGCTGTGTGTCGAAGGTTTAATGAAAGCGTTCCTTAGTGACCACTCACCTGGTGATTTAGGTAGAAAACGGAAGCACACTCCCTTTCGGAAATATAAATTTAAATGAAATAACAATGGGAGAATTTTGTGCTTCCCCAAACACTTTCAAGTTCCCATTTCTTTAGTAGCTGATATCCACATTAAAAACTTACAATGTTTAAATCCTAAGATAAAGCTTTTCATTAAAACAAATTCACGCAGTTTCTGACTGACCATAATTTCGCATGTAAATTACCGTCTCCCTATCATGAGCGGGCTCCCCCAGCATGCATTTGGATTTCTGTGTCTGGTGGCAATCATGGATAAATTAGTGCTCACTGGTGCTATGCAGGAAGCCCTGGTGGCTCGGTGGTTAAGAGCTTGGCTGCTAACCAAAAGGTCAGCAGTTCAAATCCACCAGCCGCTCCTTGGAAACCCTATGGCGCAGATCTACTCTGTCCTATAGGGTCGCTATGAGTCGGAATCGACTCAACGGCAACGGGTATGGTTTTTTTGGATTGGTGCTATGCATGCCGGTGGCACTCATAAAATATGTGTTCTCCCATGAACTCCATCAGCAGCTCCTCCCAGCATCTAACGAAACTCAAACCATGCCCTGTATCTCCCCTAAACTACTGATTCTCTTCCAGTCAAGAGGCTCAGGTAGGTTCAAGGATTCCAAAAAGGAAATGAACTCATTACAGAGGGGATTTCAGTAAAGTGAGGAAGGGAGACCTCAGAAACCTCTCTACAGTAAAACCTCCATTAATCAGAATTCTTTGAGAAAACTGGTTAATTGGATTAAGAAAACTACACTAAAAACTAAAAGTTAACCATAATCCCACGTTACCTCTCATTAAACAATCTTCAAAAATATCTTGGTATTTAACATCTTCACCTCTATTTCTCATAGACGAGCATTTACCTTATAAAAATAGTGAGGATTACATGAAATACACAAAAGATACTCAGCAGCAGAGACAACTGATGGTCTGTTTTCCAACTTTGCTACAATGAATATAAATGAGTTATTTCTGAGATTCAGCATTTGCTGTGAGCAGGTCAGCATAATCAGTATTAAGCACTGAGTAAACCCACGGGGCTCCCAGGTGGCTTCGACGTTAGTCCGAGTGACATAATACACACACAGACAAATATGCCAGCAGGTTCTAAGCACCCAGTGAGCAGCAGGGAAGAGACACAGTGGTGTTCAGATGGATACAGGCGTGATCTGCTGCCAGTGCCTTGCTGTCCAGCATTGATCTGACTGGTCAGGTGGGATAACTGGTGTCTCACTCCTCCCTCAATTTCACTCTATATCCCTCCAGAACCTATGTGCCTGATTGAAAAGGATGACCTCACGGGTACAGGAGGATGGCTCTTCATTCAAAAGTATATGAGCACCACACTTCTTTCCCAGATCTCAAGATTCATTTTTTGTTCAGAGGATTACAGCAAATATTACGATTTTTGTGTAGGAAAGAAGGCTAGCAAAGGAATTCAGCAGGAATACCAAGGCGGAAGAAAATTATATATAGATGTATATATATATATATATATATATATATATATACACATCCACACACACACATTACATATATATAAACATACACACGTATAGGTATGTATAAATGTGTATACATGTGTTAAAAAACCCACTGCCATTGAGTTGATTCTGACTCGTAGCAACCCTATAGGACACAGCAGAACTGCCCCAAGGGGTTCCAACACTGTACTCTTTACAGAAGCAGACCCCCACATCTTTCTCCTGCGGAGCGGCTGGTGGGTTCAAACCGCCAACCTTTCGGTTAGCAGCCAAGTGTTTAACCACTGTGCCACCAGGGCTCCTTCCTATGTGTATATATGTGTGTATCCATGTGCACACACACAAACGCACACTCAGACACACATACACACAGCAATGTAAAACTAGTTAAATGTCTAAACAGGGAAGGTTTTTCAGGGCCATGGACTCAGCAGACACACACCAGGCATACAGGAAAGAGAGCAAAGGCCTTCAACATGGAAGGTGCTCATTAAATGTTCCATGAGCTGGGGCAGTGAGACCAGCCAAAAGATCAGTCAATGAGGCTCTGAAAACCCGGAGCAAGATGGTGCTAGCGGAAGACTGTGAGAGAGTAAGCCATTCAAGAGAGGGCTGGAATAATGCTGAAGCTGGCTACCTCTAAATTAATTCCTGCCAAATATTTGCCTCTTGGCACACAAAGGTGAGTAAACCAAAAGAATTCAATTTATTCAGTTTCACTCTATCTGGGATTTAGAATCCATTATTTAGACAATAGCAGTATAACTGATGTATGGCTCTTCCCTGTGTTTTCCAATCCTGTTCTGTCCTTCAGAGCTTTGATTATCAGACTGCAGTTTATTTCTTGAATATTTCACTTATGAGGCCCTACCCTTTTCTGTTCCAGTAAAATCTGGTGATTTATGTCCAAGTACCACAGAGAACCCCAGGGTCAACTCTGTCACAAGACTGAATACAGACTTAACTTGTCAAGATTAGAAAAATACTTAGCAGTGGATACAGGAGTTAGTGGAGAAGGGAACGCCTGCCCCTGTTTTTCTATGATTTTGATAACGGACATTTTAATAATGAGTGTCTTCATATTTGTCAAGGGTCTTAGCCAAATGCATAATACACAAGCCTGAGGAAAAAAATATTTTGTCTCGGGATAGAAGATGACACGTCAGTTTTTATTCATATGCCGTTATTTTTATGAAAGAGGTCACTAGATAGGAAAAAAATCACCTCAAAGGTCAAAGTGAGTTTTGAACACCTGATGTTTACTCACGTTGGTCCAGAAGGGGGATACATCGATCTTCTGCAGTCTTCTGTCCACTATTTGAAACACAAAGAAAATCGAAAGTTTCAATACGTAACAAATGCTTGCTAACTGAATAATTTGTAACCAAAAAAAAAGTCACAGTTTGTGAAGACAAAATCAAATATGATTTTGCCTTTTTAGGCTATTTCAATACCCCTTAAAATAAGGGCCTTTTCCTTCCACAGAAACTTCTACTTCTGGAAATCCCAAACCATTAACTGTGTTTTTCGTCTCGGTTCAATTTGCACAAGTGCCCAAAACCAAACCAAACCAAACAAACAGAAACCAACCCAATCTGTTGCTGTGGAGTCCATTCTGACTCATGGCAACCCCAAGTGCCGGGTGTTGTAATCTGGCTCTTACATTGCAAATACGTTGACTAAAAAGAAAATGTGAGAAAGTAGATGGAAAATGTTTATACTGAGTTGATTTATCACTAAAAGTACGTTACTTTATGTTGTTTTAGGTGCCGTCGAGTCGATTCCGACTCATAGTGCCCCTGCAAGACAGAGTAGAACTGCCCCCGAGGGTTTCCAAGGCGCAGCTGGTGGATTCAAACTGCCGACCTTTGGGTTAGCAGCCATTGCACCACCAAGGCTCCCATTACTTTATAGGATGTGGTGTTATTTGAATTTATAAGCCAAGTCTATTGCAATCTGCCTTGGAATTTGCATCCCAAACCAGATTTTCAGGGCACACTGAGCAGGGCCCTTCACAATCTGCTTATAAATTACCATCCCAGCCTCATCTCCTGCCACTCCTCCTAATAAGTATAGCCACACAAATCAACCACTTCTTAATGCTCTCTCATCCAGGGAACAGCATGGACTGTTTCCTCTTTTTCTTTCTGGTAAACTTTTGGTTATCTTCTAAGACCCAGTTCAAATACTGTCTTCTTTGCGAAGTCTTCACCTACCCTCTACATAAAAATAGTCATGGCCTCCTCTATACTCCCACAGCATTTGTATACATCTCCATATTTATGACATTGCATTATAATTATCTGTTTGTGTCTCTCTGTTCTTCTTGAGATGAAGACCAGTCCCCAACGTAGAGGCCACTGACTAAGACAACGAATGAATGAGACTGTCTTTGGGGAGAGTTATTCAAGCTTAAGAGCAAAACAGAATTTGTTCCGAACATAAAATTATCAAAGTTACACAGACCCTATGATTCTTTATGACTAGTTCAAGATAGTAACCATGTTTATCGCCCCTCCACTACAGACCCAGTACTATAAAATTCAAACAATTTTTTACAAAGAAGTACCAACGCACAAGAACTGGGGTATGGAAGGAAACCACTGGAACTGTAGTTTGAGCTCAGAAAACATACCTGTTGCAAATTTGTATGAGAATGGATCTCACATCTTGTTTTAACATTTAATAACACAGGAAGTGTATAAAGTAGCTTGACATTACTTGTGATTCAATAACTTGTGATTAATTGTCATCAAAACAACTTTACCACAGTGTAAGTTTTACATATAAGCTCTGTTTTGGGGGCAGCAATTATTCTGGAAATAAGAATAATAAGTAAGGATGTAAGGTGGGTTAAACTGAAGGTCCTGTAAACAGATGTGAAAAAATTACAGGTTGAAGCCCTGCTAGAAACTTAATCTCCCTGTTAGAAAACAAGAGTAGCATGCTGCATAGCAACCAAATCTCTTGCCCGGAGGATTTTGAGCGGAGTGGGAAACAGCAGTGCTCGGCTCAAAGATGGTGGCAGACTGCGCTGCTCTGAATGTGTGTCGCTCTCCAGGATCCTGCCAGTAATCCAGTCTTACACATCAGGCTCCTGAAAGGGCTCACTGTGCTTCTTCCGAGTCTCCCGTTCCAGGGCTTCAACCTCTAATTTTTCCCATTCTGTTTAAAGTTCCAGATCACCTAAACTGTAAAAATTCGACTCTGTTCTGGTTTTGCTTTGTCGGCCATGACTGAACCAGTTCAAACTGGTTCGAAGCCCTGCTTCAGAGCTCATAGAGTAGCATCTTTTCTCTTCTCTGACCTCCTGGATCCCTCTTATAAGGCCCCTGTGATTAAATCGGGCTCACCTGGATAATCCCGAATAATGCCCCCATCATAGAATTCTTAGCTAAATGGCATCTACAAAGTCCTTTCTGCCATAAAAGGTAACATATTCACAGGTTCCGGGGATTAGGATATGGACATCTTTGGGGAGCCACTATTCGGCCTGCCACAGTATCTAGGTGAAGAGACATTTTCAAAGATGAAATATGTAAAATCTCATTACTGACCAGGAATAACATATAAATACTTTCAATGAATTTTGATGAGAGGGAACACTAACAATGAATCCCAAGTAAGCAAACTATTTCCCCCAGCCCATCATAAGAAAAAAAAAAATCAATTAGAAACTCCAGGAAAAAAAAATGTACAAGAAAATCATGATATAAATGTGTACCACAACAACAGAAAACAAACCCACTGCCATCTAGTTGACTCGGACTCACAGTGACCCTGCAGGACCGAGGAGAACTGCCCCACAGGGTTTCCAAGGAACGTCTGCTGGATTCGAACTGCTGACATTTTGGTTAGCAGCCAAGCTTTTAACCACTGCGCCACCAAGGCTTCACGAAGCAAACTAAGTAGGAAGCAAACTAAGATGTGGCATGATTCTGAGTAATTGGTAGAGAATACATCTGAATATTCTTCAAGTCCACTAGGTGCTTTAGCTTTGGAAGAAATGTAATCAAAGCACACAGAGTAAAGATCAATGTTCACCAGTCATACTTCTCTAACTATTGATGGTTTTCATTTCCTTAAAAGGAAACATAGACAAAGCGTGGAAGCCTCAATGACAGTAACAATTACGTTATCAACTTTGACTAAGCAAGAGTTCAAGTGTATAGAAGTGAAGAAGGGCTGAGAGAAAAGAAAGGTGGAGGAGACAGGGATGTGTCCATCAAAAGTCACTGCTATGTCTACACAGCAGCAATGAGCAAACCGAAAAATGATATGAAGAAAACAATTCCATTTGTGATAGCATCAAAAAGAATACAATACTCAGGAATAAAGTTAACCAACAAAGTGCAAGACTTGTACAATGAAAACTACAAAACACTGCTGAGAGAAACGGAAGACCAAAACAAATGGAAGGATATCCTGTGTTCATGGATCAGAAAACTTAATATTTTTAAGATGGCAATATACTCCCCAAATTGATCTACAGATTCAATGCAACTGCTATCAAAATCCCAGCTGGCTTCTTTGTGGAAGGAGACCAGTTGATCCTAAAATTCACATGGAAATTCAAGGGGACACAGAAGAGCCAAAACAATCTTGAAAAACAAGAACAAAGTTGGAGGACTTAAACTTCCTAATTTCAAAACTTACTACAAAGTTACAGTATCAAAGCAGTGTGGTACTCGCATAAGGACAGACACATAGACAAATGGAATAAAATTAAGAGCACAGAAATAAACCCTGTGTGGTCAGAGTAGAACTATACTCCATAGGGTTTTCAATGGCTGATTTTTTTTTCAGAAGTTGATTGCCAGGCCTTTCTTCCGAGGTGCCTCTGGATGGACTCCAACCTCAAACCTTTCAGTTAGCAGCCGAGTGTGTTAACTGTTCCCACCATCCAGGGACTCTGTCACATTTACGATCAACTGCAAATCATGTATCTGATAAGGGACTTGGATCTAGAATATAAAAAGAACTCTTAGAACTCAATAATAAAAAGACAAATGACCCAATTTAAAAAAATGGGCTAAAGGATCTAAACAGTCATTTCTCCAAAGAAGATATACAAACTTTGAAGACACAAAACTTAATAGAAATTTTGCTTGTAGTTCTTATATTCTCATTCTGAGCCAAGCTGGAACCTGCCGCCCCACCCAGAAGTGGCCCAGTCCTGGGAAAAGGGGAGAAAAGGCAGAGCAGTGCGCAGGCCTGAGAGCCCCAATTCTCCCTCAGTGCAGGGGGGCTGGGCCGCCACCCCCTTCTCCTGGCTCCCTGGGCTCCAGGAAGGACAGAGGATGGACTCTCAGGCCTGGGCTTCTCCACACGCCCTGCCCCCAGGCTGGAGAGGAACTAAGGGACTCGGGGAGGGAAGAGGAAAGAGGAAAGAAAAGATGTCTGTGAAGAAAGACGGGAGTCAGGGGCGAGCGCTGAGGGAGAATCAAAGACAAACATGAGTAACAAAAAAAGGGGCAGCATGGGGGACAAAACCAAAATCCACTCCAAATCTGAACCCGCCTGGAACAAAGGGAAGTTTTCCAGTCTCAGAGAGCCACTGTCTGGCGCTCCTGGCTCTGTGGCTGGGGAGCTCAGGCCTCAGTCCAGCCCGGGAGGCAGGCAGTGTGCAGTTGGGCCTCCACAGCTCATCCTTGGCCAACAAGCGCAGGAAAAGACGCTCAATATCATTCGCCATCAAGGAGATGCATCTCAAACCAGAATGAGACAACGTTTCACACCCAATAGCATATAATAAAAAAGACAGATAATAACAAACATTGGCTAGGAGGTGCAGAAATCAGAACCCTCGTACAATGCTGGTGCAGCTGCTGTGGCAAGATGTCTTGCCCTTCCTCAAATGGATAAACACAGTTATCATACGATCCAGCAATTCCCCTCAGACAGATTATACCCAAGAGAAATGAAAATGTCTGTCCACACAGAAACTTGTACACCAGTGTCCAATGCAGCGTCAGTCACAACAGCCAAAAAACGGGAATAACCCGATCACCCATCACCTGACGAATGAATAAACAAAACGTGGGCTATCCATACGAGGGAACTCTATCCAGCAACAAAAGGGAATGATGTACTGATGCATGCTACAACACAGACGGACCACGAAAACATTATCCTAAGGAAAAGAAGCCAGTCACAAAGGACCACATACTGTATGCTCTCCTTTCTATGAAATGTTCACAACAGGCAAATCTATAGAAACAGACAGTATGTTGGTGGTTGTCTAGAGCTAGGGGGAAAGGGATGGGGGACTTGGGGATCTAAAGGATGCAGGGTTTCTTGTTGGGGTGACAAAAATGTTCTAAAATCAGTTGTGATGGTAGGACAATTCTGTGAATATATAAGTCATTGGATTGTACATGTTTAATAGGTAAATTGTATGGTATGTGAATTATATCTCAATAAAGCTGCTAAAAAAAAGAAAGGCAGAGGGAAGGATGTTGAAAGTAAGCTAAATTTTTATTCATCACTGCAGTATGAGATTAGAGGGTGCCTACAATTGATTAATTCTGGAGCCCTGGTGGCGCAGTGGTTAAGCATTTGGCTGCTAACCAAAAGTCAGAGGTTCGAATCCACCAGCCGCTCCTTGGAAACCCTACTGGGCAGTTCTACTCTGTCCTATAGGGCCTCTATGAGTCAGAACCGACTCGACAGCAATGGGTTGGTTGGTTGGTTGGAGGATTTTCAGAGACCAATTCTTCGACATCATTTAAAAATTTTCTTTAGCTGTTGGGATCTCAAATTATTTAAAAATAATAAAAGCTCCTGCAATTGGTGGGCATGACACTCGAAAGTTCACTACTACTTTTTTTAGTTAATTTGAAAATGAATCTCCAAAAAGTAGCACCCTAGTTCACAGAAAGTCTTAATGTACAAACAGGAATTTTCCAAGCAGGTCATTTAATAAGGGCAGTTAACCTTAGAACAAAGTCTCACTTCATACTAACTTATTCGCCATACAATTTTTCTAAATATCAGATCTTGTGGTCAGCTTAAAATGTGATTTGATTCACAAAAATCCAATTTATGCACTTTTATTAAATTTCACACTGTAAGAAATTTTACAGGCCTGTTCTGGATGCAGGAGCCCTGGTAGCTCAGTTGGTAAAAGAGTTTGGACTGCTAATCAAAAGGTCGGCAGTTCGAGTCCACCAGCTGCTCCTTGGAGACCCTACGGGGCAGTTCTACTCTGTCCTACAGGGTAACTATAAGTTGGAATCGACTCGATGGCAATGCGTTTGTTTTTTTTTGGTTTATTCTGGATGCAAGGCTGTTAGTGATTAGTAGATGACACAGCTGATACAGAGTCCGTGTCCAGATGCCAGTCCAGGGCTTTCCCTGCTCCATTACACACCTGTAACAATAAAACCAATGCCTCGAGTTACTTCCCAATAGGGGACAGTGGACACTTAGTGCAGGGCTTCGGATGATGACTACAATCAACACAGCAAATAATGACTCATCCCTCCCTATATTTGCATGCCCTGGGTTCCAAACTCAATATGAAAATCAAATTATTAGGCACATTTCTTACTAGACAACTGTGGGGGAAGTTGAAAGTGCTCTGCCAAGGCTTAGGAGAGAATTCAACCTGTCCTAGAGGTAAAAGAGTATCATCGTGATAATAACTGTAGGAATATGAGATTGCTGAGACATTTTACTATGATAATCGTGGCTCTGCTATAAGTAGACATGAAATCTGCATAGAATCTGGCCGCAAGAAGAAAGGGTAAATGTGACGGACAAGAAGAAAGGTAGAAGCTATGAAGACCAGGGTATTGCAGTGCTCAGGAGGCACTACCATCAAAGCCATTTTAAACAAAAAGGTTAGTTTTGGGGGTAGGATGGAAAGAGAGCTACTTCCTAGGTCTCAAGGGAGAATTCTACATGGGAAAGACAGGTTCAAAATCTATTTTCAGACCGAGATAAAATTATAACGAGCTCTTTTGTTATTCAAGTTCTCTTAAAATGCCCCAATTTAACTACACATTGTTTTAATAATAGACAAACTTATCAAAGTAGGTAACAATTTAAATAGATGATAGGTACAGATATTACGTACTATGCTTGGTATACCGTGCTACTCCACCATCTGGGAAAAAAAATCAAATTTACCATCAATTTCTCTCTCTCTTTCTCTCTGTTCTGCTTCATTAGGCCAGATGAAGTGGTGAAAATCTGATGTTTCAATACATTTGAAACTCTAGGGGAAAAAAAAAATCTTCAAAAGACTTTATGCGTCAGTGAGTTCTCTGTTTACTCTGGTTATTTGATAGGAACTCAAACCTCTCTGAATTAATCAGTTCTTATGTCTTCCCCACTCATTGAGAAAAACTAATTACAGAACCACTGGGCATAATATATTTAGGAAAGTACCATATAGCAAGAGTAGAATCTCTACCTTCTCAGCTGTCAGTTCTATAATGACAAGAGTGCTTTTTCAGCCACTCAAGGCTCTACCTCTAAAAGCAATGTTATAACTAGTGCAGCTCAACATGTCTGAATCCTGCTGAACTGGTGAGGACCACAATGAAATGTATGTTTCTAATAACGTACAAAAAAGTTCAGAAAGCCCTCGTGTGCTTGTCTCATTTCATATATTCAGAAAACGACTATAACAGGTAATTTTAAGAAAGTAGTTCACACCAGTGTTGCTACCCATCAGAAAAGAAGTTGGACTATAATCATAGCAGGACAATTTTTAATTCATCAACAACTGTTTTCTAAATAAGATGTGTTTCCTAAAATGTCTTCTATGTACAACTTAGCAGAGACACA